AGCCAGAAGGCCGTGGTGTTTCTTGGCTAAAACGCTGTGCCCTCCTGGTGTTTGAGCCAGGCAGCTTCATGGTGAAATCATTGTGCTCAGCCAAGAAATAATCAGGCACAAACCTGCAAACTGCTTTTTTACACTGTTTTTATCCAGATTAAACAGAGATGTAAGGTGTTAATTAGTGACTTTAGAGGTGCTGCTGGATGGATTTTGTAACCTCTGGACTCAGTGGCTTCATTTTTACTCATTTGATTCAGCACAGCAACGATTTTGTTTCCATTTCCCCCGTCTGCTTTGTCCACAGAAAAACGAGATGTCCAATGAGCTGGTGGTGGAGGGCGAGAACTCGGCCCCCATGAGCGAGGTGTGCTCCAGGAATCAGATGGATGCCATCGAGGAGCTCCAGGAGGAGGACGAGGAGGAACAGGAGTGAGATCCGAGGGAGCGGAGGAGGAGGAGGAGGAAGGTAAAGCCGAGCTCAATGTGGGACATACGGTGCTGGAGGAGAGAGGGGACCTCCCGAGTATGGTTTTGGTTTCAGAGGTCCCCTCGACAGAACTGAGGTCTTCTTCTTCACCTCGACCACCTCACCATTAATGCGCACACTGTAAAGAAAGCCATGCACCTCCACGTGTTCATCCATCAATGTAAATACCGTTAGCGTCTTCCGATCTTCAGTGCTCATAATCTGCGGGGCGTAATAATCATTTTCATGTGTTGGTAAACAAGGGAAATCGACACGGGAGAGCTCTTCCTCCTCAGCGGCGAGAACGGAAGCGTCTGTCGAGTGGTGGTGGAGTTGCCAAAAGAGTTCTTTATGTTCTTTAATCGACGATTAAGCAGCAAGGCCTTGCTTGGATTCAGATATAGACATACTGTGGGACTTGTTGGGTTGTGCAATCGTATTTTCCATACAACGGTGTACAGATTATTGTTGTTTTATATAGGTAATGCATCGTGTATATTTAATTGCCCAGGGGGGTCAGGAATCCCTCGTTATATATCACTGCGTGTTTCAAAACGAACCAAAATGCCAAAAAAATAGTCATGATTGTTCTCTTTCCATGCAGTCTGGGAGTCAACTTTTGTTTTGCCCAGCATTTTCCTGGTGGTATTCAGGCTGTCATATGTACTGTATATACTGTAAAGGCATTCTTATTTGGCAAATAAATTGCTTTATTAATAATCTTCATGCTTACCTGGAACTGGCTTTACCTTCTTGTTTCTTTGAGTCTAACAGATACCACTGCAAAATCATGTTTATTTTTCTCCCCCTGAAGTGGATGTTATACATTTCTGTCATGTACACAGTGGTGGGTGCTCACAGTATCGATACACTGTACTTATTTGAAGCTTGGGCTATGTACAAGTAATCAATGAGGGTTTAATAACTTCAAAAATTATATTTTTTTTCCTTCTCTTGTGTGTTGCTAAAGTTTAATAAAGGGGATTTTCATATAAAAGCAACCTTTTTGCTGCTTCCTCGGGAGGAGGGTCGCTCCACAAGTTTAAATTGACGGTTTTGCACCAGATGCCCCTCCTGATACAAATCCCCTTGGGGTTGTCTTCAGCTGGAATCAAACCAGCAGCCTTTCACTTGTTAAATGTGTAAACAAGTCCATGTTATGTGGTCAGAAAATTTGGTTTTGTAAAATATTCCCACTACTCTGCAAGTTTGGAGGGTTTTAATTAAAAATGCCAGTTTGGTTGTGAAATAAATTTTAATCTTGTGTTTATTCCTTCAGGAAAGCCAAACAGACTGTTGTATGGAAGCTCATTTCTGCCACAGAAACACATTTGAACAATAATTCCCAGGAAAGATTTTGATTCAAATATCTATATTTTGAGATAATTGACCTGAAATTTTAACTTGTCGATGGAAAATGTTTTTATTCAGTAGCAGAATAAAACTTCAGAGCTCCGTTTTCAGTGACCAGAGTAAAGTTTCACTAGATTGCCGTCAGTATTTTCAGAGAACAAAATTTTTCAAACTAAGCTGACGTTTCAGCCTTTTTCCCCACATGAATGCCTGCTAACAGAAATATGAAAGCAGTTTCACACAACCAGTGAGTGAAAGTTAAACCTACTGTTCTCTCCCACAATAAGCAGGTAACCATTGTTAAATCTGCATTATACTCCGTCAGAGAGCGTGCATGAATGGATCTGAGATAATGTAATTTACTGGTTACAAGTTTGGTTACGGCAGAATCTTTTTTAGGCCTGTATTGTTTTATTTTTGGCTTTGAAAGCTAAAGGGAACTGAATTTATAGTGGATTTTGGACTCTTTCAGCTTAGTTTTTTTTAATTCATTATATGACATTTGTGTCAGGGGTGAGATTTAATAAGTTTAAAACATCTATTAAAATACATACACTGTTTTCATAAATCTGTGCAAGTCTCATCGTGCGGGCTCTGTTGACAAATTTGACCAATCTTGCAAAACTTTTGTGATTACAAACTAATGTTTTTGTTCTTTTCAACATCTGAATTTGGTATTAACAAAATAAAAACGCTGGCAAGCGAAGGAAGCGGTGCTCACAAGCACCAGGTTCAGATGTCAGGCGAGGGGCAACCAATCAGAAGAAAGTGGGCTTTTACTCTGACAACCTCCCCCAGTACCCTAGATCATCAGGGTTGACAATTCAGTATATAGATGTGGCTATCTACACATCTATCTGGAGTAATTTCCAGGTTTTTCCAAGGGTATACCTAGACCTGATGCGTAGCCAGTCATTTTGTTCTGGAAGCAGGTCAGACACCAGTTCGGGAAAGAGAAACAAGGGTGACCAGAAGAAGGTATCCGAGGGTGAAGAATTAAAATATGCAAGTCTTAAAGAGATGGCTTGTTTCGCACAGAGGATGAGCTGCATAAAGACCCAGTTTAAGATGCTTTTAAACTCATCCTCATCCTGTTTAACACAACTTTATTCTAATTGGCTGCCCCTTGCAAACTTGTGGGTGGAGCTTGTGAGATGACCATATTAGAGATATCCTCTCCCTCACTGACCTCATGCAGAGCCAAGATTAGAAAAAAGAAAACTCTTAAATGGGATGAAAACGATTACTTGTGCATATGCTGAGCACACTGGCCCTATTTTAAATGAGCATCCACTATTGTAATAGTATACATAAGACAAAGAGGAAAGATCCACTTTAAGAACGTTTTTACACTGTTTTATTTTGTCTACAGACCTCAATCCAGAACTTTACCCCCACCACCCCAAAAAAATCATTTTATTTAAATGCTGTCCAAAACTTTTGACAGTGCAAGAACATTCCTGCAAATGGCATAACATTTTCTTTAATCACCTTTACCTGCTCTGGAATTAAGACATAAATGGCCTCTTATCACCAATATCCAACATTCATTCTTACTGTGCATTATTTCTAAGGCAACACGGAGGACCAAGCGAGCCTTTTCTGAGTCCAGCGGCTGGTGGTTGGGTCTGTTGCCAGTGTTAGCAGCAACATTGGCACATTTCTTCCCTTCAGAACAGCTTGGTTAAAAGGCAGCATGTTACACATTGAGTTTAACACACACATACACACAAAGTCAAACACACATGCACACACAGACTGCCACAAATCACACCTCTGACACAGAGGATGCGAGTAATCTTCTGATCGTCATCTGGTGTTGAACCTGATAAATCGTCCAACCCTTCATTGACTAATTCAGTTGCTTCACTTAATGAATTTAGACGGTCACACTTGTTTTAAAAAACTAAACAATAAATTAACACTCAAAGTGCCCAACATCCAGTGTAAATACCATCACCTAAAGTTTTTGGCGCTGTTGGCAGCTTCACTCAAAATTTTACATTAAAAAAAAAAAAAAAAGACTTCTGAGAAAATTTGGGCTTTTTTTCCTTCCAAAATGACACCCTGCAAAGGAATCTGCGTCTATCTGAGAAAATCACAGGATATCCGATATGTACACATATCCAAATAGAAAACTGTGTATACAGTACAGTGTGTACAAGAACATGTAAACCAAACCTTGTACGTGGTCTTGAATCAGCATTTTGTTGTGTGTTGGTTTTTTTTGTTGTTTTTTTTTTTAAAGGAATAGGTCAAGATTTTTGGGACGTGTGCTTATTTGCTGAGTTAGACATGTGAAGCAGGAGGCAGTCAGCTTAGCTTAGCATAAGGACTGTAAGCAGGGGGGGGAGACAGCTAGCTGTTCTCTGCCAAAAACATAAACTGTATACAGAAGATGGACACAGTCACTGTGACGTTATGTTTGCTTAATGGCCTTAAGCACTTTGGTTTTTGGGGCCAGATGTGTCAACGTGTCAGCTAATGCTCGCAAGGTTATCCAGAAAGCTCCACATACAGACTGTATGGGTGCAGTGCATAGACGGATACGCTCCGTAATCAGTGCAACATTCAGGCAGTAACTCACTACAACTGAAGCAAAAACTTATAGAATGGGCCCTACTACACAGCAGACCATAATATTTGTCAAACAGTACCAGTTGACTAGTTATTTAAATGTTGCCCTCCCCCCGCTAGTCAGCTGCTGAAATAGCTGGTTAAACAAGCAGCTAAAGCCAGGTTTAACCACATTCTGCACCGGGGTGTGCTTGCATGAATGAAAAAAGGATCTTTTCATTAACGTGGAATGTGTTTGCAGAATGTCAAATTTTTAACTTGACAAAATTTAAAACGTAAGTCCCGGGGGCTGGAATCGGCCTGGCAAAGACTCCAATCTGGCCAACTGGATATCTTTAGACAATGTAAGAAATCGTGGACTTATATTGGACTGTTTTCTGTGTGTTTTACTGCTTTTCCTACTAATTACGATCGCCTCCACAGCCACACATACTGCACCATAGTAATTGTGTACTGGATAACCAATTAAATGACAGAAAAGCTGCACCATCTACTAGAGAAGTTTCTCCTTTTTTACAGTGTGTCCACAGCAAAATTGATAAATAAAATAGAGCATTTTATATGAATTAAAAATAAAAAAAAAGTATGCTTCATAATTGCAGGACAGTCTGGGCAATGAGCTACCAGAACTTTTCTGTAATTTGTAACATTTATTTCTTGTAATGAAATCCCAGAATTCTTTTGTCTGCTGCAGCAGCATTTCTTTTGAGACGTAGTGTTGAAATCGCACTTCTTCTTATATTGAGATTAAATGTGTAGTTAAACTTCTTCACGCTGACACAAAGGAGATTTTCATCTGTCTGGCCCACTTAAAATGAGTTTGACATCCCTGATTTAAGGTCTGCTCAATTCTAAAGGTTTTCTGAGTTATTATTTTGCCTTTTAGAAATGATGACTAGCCAGGAACATCTCCAATAAAAGGCCCAAAACAAAAATCATCAGTCTCTTGTGGAGGTCTGCAGGTTTCAGGTTACCACTCATTCCAAAGGTAAGAACATCCTCCCACCAGCACCTTTCCTTCAGAAGTATCTTAATTTAAGCCAACTAGCGATCACAACAGAAGAGTTTGTCTTGTTTCTCTTTCCTGCTGATATTTAAACAGCTTTTTTATGATGGGGATTAAAACTGAGACCAGGCTCTTAACGTGCATTCACCTCTACTTCTGGTGGAGTGTGTGCACAGTGATAAAGATCGCTCATAATTTAAAGCAACAGATCTGTGATCCCTTTTTCATCTAACAGTCCAGACAGATGTGACCCATGCTCGGCACAGGTTAATAGATAATAAAGGAAATAGAGAAAGGTTAGCGAGGCGCCTCTGTCCAGGGAAGAAGAAAATCATGTGTCATTGATTTCTGTGTGGATTAAAGTAAAAGCAAACAAACAAAAACAAACAATCAAAAGTGCTGGTGGTTGTATGTTTGTACCCTTTACTTCCATTCTTTGTACTAAGCTAAGCAAACTTACTGCTGGCTGTCAATTAATAAGCACACTTCCCAAAACTATACCTTTAATTGATAAATCTTGATCAACCTGAGGGGTGTTTGTATGGCAGGAGGTTTTTCTGCAGTGGCAATCAGCTGGAGGGGAGCTCCTTTTGTGTTTCTGCAGCTTCTACAACGGGCACATTGTAGTGGCGATCATCCTCTGTGACGAGGCACACAGATTCCCAGTCGTCCCTATGGTCGTCCGGGTAGTAGGTGACAAACTCCTCTGTGTCTGCCTTGTACAGTCTGTAAACTTGAATGGTACACTGCAGGGCGTAGCCCAGCAGGAACATCTCCACCTGCCCAAGAGAAAACGCAAAGGGAGGGGGGAGGGGATAATTGCACAGTTACAGAGGAACTCCAGCAGACTTCTCAAACAGCTCCATGTTTGATCAGCTGCTTCAGCACAAAACGTTTACGGGTGGAGTCTCTCTTTAGAAGCAGAGCTTGTAAAATCTGTTATTCAAAAAATGAAAATAACAATTAAAACGCTCAGCAGTTGAGAACTACCTCCGCCCCCGGGGTCAATGGTGCATCACTCAAAACAAGCGGAAAACAAAAAACAGAGCAAGCGCCGGCATGTTTTACTATTCGGCTCTCACATGACAAAAATGTTAACACACCCACCTCGTGATGTTCAGCCCGAATTGTTGTTTTTGTTACTGAGTGCGACAGATGTTTACTCAGTGGGAAAGAAAATTCCCAGCAACCTTTTACCATAAAGTTGTCAAAAACAACAGAGACGCTTCCCACCTGCTCCAGACCTGCGGTCAGGCCCACGTGGCTGAGGTGGTTGGAGAGGAAAGAGCGTGGACAGTCGGAGGAGTCCCGCGCGAACAGCAGCCAGCAGAAGAGGGGGACGTCTTCACCGCCCTGCATGCAGCTGTGCAGCTCTGCCGCTCTGCTCAGCATCAGCAGCTTGAGAGCCTCCAGCAGACCGAGCTCCTCTTCTCCACCCTGAAACACTCGCTCACAGAGCTGCTGACGCTCAGCGTCGGTGGCACAGTCCACCGCTGCCTGCCACTGGAGACAAACAAAGTGTATCAGTCACTGAAGAGGTCTAAAACAGCTGGCTATACATGAGAATTTACTGCTTTTTTCAGACATAATTTCAGGTTATGGAACTTAAAGCTCAGATAATGAGGGCAGGTTGTTGGTAGAGATGGCACGATACCACTTTTTTATGTCCGATACAGATATCATAAATTTGTATATCTGCCGATACCGATATGAATCCGATATAGTGTATTTTTTTTAATCAATAAAACTGTTTTTTTAATATCTTGCTGCATTTTGTATAGGTTCATACATTAAAAAACAAAAAACAAAAAAACAAAACACTAAAGCTATTCTGATAAACCTGTATGCAAAAAATACACTGCACCCAAAATATTTCATAGTTCAGCAACACTGAGCTAATAAAGTTAAACCCACACCATCCTCCCTATTCTGGTATTTTAAAGAGTACTTAGCAGAAATATTAAACAACCTAACTAATAGGGTTGCCAACAAAAAAAAAAAATAGGGAACCACCCTCCACCTCGTGATGCTTAATCGATGTAATCAACTTTAATTTAATGCACGTGTAAAAAAAAAAAAAATAAATGCACAGAAATAAATTATTTTTCTACAATAATTAAATAGATTCAACATCTTTCTTCAACAGAATTGCAGACCGCACAGATGGTTCCCAAAGGAAAAAGTAGTATAGCTTACCAGGGTATATATTAGACTTAATAGTTACTATATACAGTAAGGACTTCTATACATTTTACGTCAGATTAAAACTTTGGGTGTAAGATTCAGATAATTATTTAATTAAAGGTAGACATTTTAAATGAGAATAAGAAAGAAAAGTATGTCTTTGTGCCCCCTTTTCCCTGTTAATGCCCTATCGGCCCCCCTGGCTAAACTTTGCTAGATCCGCCCCTGCACAGTTACCAGCCGTCAGCTGCGTAGAAAAAGATCCTGGTGTAAAAAGTAATATTAAATAAATTCTAACAACAGCTTATCAAGCTTAAACGTGCTGCTGTTCTTTAGCTGCTGGTTTCCTCTTTCTGGCGCGAAGTGGGCCAAAAACAAACAAGAGACAGGAGTGGCAACAGAAAAGCCGATCAGCTGATCATTGATCAGTTTCATGATTGAAGTAGCAACAGGAGAGGGAGGGGGAGAGAAGAGGCAGTCGCTCCATATATTGGTTGTTAATCGTAACGCTAAAATGCTTTACAAACATTCAAAGATGAACTTACACACTTGCTTTACTTCTCTCTGGGTTAACTTTCTCGGAGATGAAATGCCGGTTTGGTAGCGACTGCCGAGAGGTCTCGCACGCCACAGCTGCTCTATCACGTGACACATACTGCCCCAACATGCTAGGGTCATGAGCTGAGTTACGCCGTGTCGCAAGCAATGACCTTTTCTACAGTCATTGGTTGCAAGTTTTGTGAGGTGCTTTTGAGATATTTAATGAATCTGATTACGGTACATTTTTTATCTCTCTCCGATATCCAATCCAGTAATTTAGGTCAGTATCGGACCGATACGTAATATCGGATCGGTCCATCCCTAGTTGTTGGGATGGGGCAGCTGTGGTTAAGGAGGTACAGGGATGTGTTTGCTAATTGGAAGGTTGGGGGTAACTAGATCCTCCAGTCAGTCGAAGTGTTGCTGGTCAGGATGCTGAACTTCAAAACTGCCAATCAGAGAGTGTGTGTAAGATGGAAATGCACTGCTCAAATATGTTAAAGGAATACTTTGAAAACACATCAAACGTCCATGGGGAAAAATCTACACTTGTACAGACTGGGTAATGTGTTAGGAAGAAAAGGATGCCATGTTGTTTGATGGAAATAAGAAGTATCAAGCTACAGAGCGCTAAGTTCAAAGAGTCCCCGAAAACTGAAGTGAAAAAATGATGTGTCAAGCTAGTCGGTTTTGCCAAAATTTCATTGCTGTAGCTTAAAATGGTACTGAGTAATTTGTGTGGCCCCCATGGGTTTGCATGCATGCCTGGGATTCTCCAAACTCTTTCACGTCTGTCACATGTGCTCAGGGTGAACCAGCACTCATCTGTGAAAAGCACAGCAGGCCAGTGTGCCAATTTTGGTATTCTATGGCCAATGCCAATCGTGCTTTACGGTGCTAGGCAGTAAGCTCAGGGCCCACTAGATGATGTTGGGCCCTCATGAAGTCTGCTTCAGCCACGTTGTCAGAAACCCACATGGGTGGCCTGCTGGAGGTCATTGCTCTGGCAAGGCTAATTCTATTTGTCCTTGCATAAACAAGAAGAAACAGATCCTGCTGATGGGTTAAGGGCCTTCTACAGCCCGGTCCACCTCTCCTAGAGTAACTGTCTGTCTCATAGAATCTCTTTCATGCTCTTGACACTGTGCTGGGAGACAAAAAAAACATCTGGCAATGGCACGTATTGATGTGCCATCCTGCAAGAGTTAGAACTACAGTGCAACCACTGTAGGGTCCAGGTATCGCCTCATAGTACCAGTAGTGACACCTTGAAAAATGCAAAACAAATGGAAAAAAACTAAGAGAAGATGAGGAGGGGAAAAATTGTTTTGGGGGTTGTCTAATTGTTGCCCCACTGGTAATGCCTCTTGGTAATTTCACGAACTCTAAAGCAGCTGAAACTAATTAACAACCCCCTCTGCCACTTCACTGACCAGATCAATAACACATAATTTAATTGACTTCAAGTGCTAGAGCAGAAAAGTACTGTAAGTCTTATTTGTTTATTTTAATCGAATTTTCTTTAAGGCAAAAATTCCTCTTTCTCTTATCACCTCCCATAATAGTATGTAATCCTTTTTGTTCAGACAGAACCTAATATCAATGCGATTATGACTCAAGAACAAACACAGGTGTCATGCATGATGGCTGATCAATAGAACACAAAATCTAGGACCAGTCATGATTTCCTGACAGGAATATTGGGACATTTTCTTTCTTTTGAGGTTTCTACAATGGTTCTGTTTTGAGTGGGTTTTTTTTGTTTGCTTCTTCTTCTTCTTCTTTTTTTTCTTTTCTTTCTTTCTCTTTTTTAAAATAAAACCAGTCAGCAGTGTACAGCTGTAAACAAAGCAAACGAGAATCATGGTGCCAGTATAGTTGGGTGAAACTGTGGAATGAAGGAACAACAGTCAGACAGTATCATACAAATACTTCAGTTGGACTTGCTTGTTGACGTTTTACTGTCCCTTTTTCCCCACTGGAAATCGCCAAGAAATATGACGTACATCTTTGGTCGGATTGTGTGATTGTGTTTCCAAACCCGACACAACAATAGAGGGTTTATTGGACAAGAATAGTGGGAACGTGTCTAGTGCCCTGAAGCCATCAGGAGACAGCTGTTTGAATGTTTTGTTACAAAGGAGATTATATCACCTGTCAGTAGGCAACAGGTCAAATATCAACAGTCAATCTGACAACCAGCAAGAAGAAAGCATTGAGAGTCAGTGGAACAAAGGCACACTTAGTCACCAAAGTGTAAGCTGACGGCAGTCCGGGACCTGGGTGTTAAGTGTTAAGGATAAAAAAGCTTGATGCCCTTTATGACAATGCATTACTTTACACTCAACATTTTTCCACTTCATATAATTACTGTTACTATTTAACACTTGCTGTCTGCACCTGCCAAGGAGAACGGTTCTTAATGCAAATGTTCAGCATGTTAGTAATGATCTCTGGGTAACACAGACACACCCGATGAGCCTGTCACTTGTAGTTGGACTTCAAACAATCTGATCTTTGATTTTTCTCCAAATTGCACTAGGAATCCCTTTTCCCCTGCAGTTTCACATTTACAAATGTGTGTATGTCCTTCAGGTTTCTGTATCAGGGTGGCTGTGGCTCAAAAGGTTGAGTAAGTCACGTACAGACCTGAAAAATTTGGGGCATTTTCACCTTTATTGGATAGTGGAGCAGCGAACACACTGCTGCACTCTGGTCATGTGGCAGATGATCACTTGCTCATCCATTAAGCTAAACTGGCACCACAATGTCAATATTTTATAAAAAATAAAATAAAATAAAAATAATGATAATAAAAAAAACTCTGAGGAAACAATGAAGAAGAGGACTCATCTCGAGCAGAAAACATTAGCTAAGCAAACTTCAACTCAACCAAAAAGCAATCCAACACTGGATAGCTAAAGTTTAATTAAGTTAAACTCAAATACTACATATTAATTCAGAGCACGCCAACAGCTCAGTAACATGGGTAAAAAGCATCCTCCTTGCCTCTGATTGGTGAGTGTATTGAATTTTTTTCACATTCTGTAGCTGACTGCAACTTGTGGTGACTAAATGGTTGCTCAGAGCTTGAGGGTGTTGCACACTCACGAGCATCTTTGATCACAAGCTGATTGCACCTAAAGGGAATGCAACCTTTGTGCAAACAGTCACAGTCTGACTTGGACTGACTGCAGTCGCTCTCAGAGAGATTTTTGCAGGTTTGCAAATAACTGCTTTCTAATTCATAAATGCAGGCAGATTGCCAGCATGTAGCCACCATCAGGTGGCTGAAGGTAGAAAAAAAAAATACAGGGCAGGTGTATTTAAATACAGCCCGTCTCTTTGTGCAACAACTTTGCTTTGCCAACATTAGATGACCTAAGTAAATTTTACTTTTATAGTGGCACCAAATAACTACTCATGATTTTACCTCAGAATCAGCACATTATCATAAGCATCCAGACTTTGAAGAAACGATGTTAGGAAATGGGTCTATCCAGAAGACAACACACTGATTTAGATGAGGTGATGTCATTTGTGCATAAAGAACTACAGCACAATGGACAGAGTCAAGGATAACGCTGGACACCTTTGAGCTATTCAAATGGGATATGTGGTGCAGCGGGTCAATCCAACAGATTATTAAGCAATAAAGGGCCAAATGCTATTTGGCACATGGATTCTTGCGCTAAATTGAAACCTTATGGTATAGAGATTAATGGAAGCACTGATGGTTTCAATAATTTTTGGTATGGATGGACGCATCAACAACAAATTACGACCCCAAGGTTGTTGTTGCGGGGAGATTTTTTTTTTTTGTAAATACACCACTTTATAGTTTTCAAAGGTGTGAAACTGACGCTTGTAGTTACTGATCTGTTCTTGACGTTGGTCCCCAGGCTGATCTGGTCAAAAAGGATCTTTTGTTGGTTATTTCCTTTATGATGATACACACTACAGAATCAGATATCACCATTTTTATCTATTGCAAAGCTGCTGTATTGAGTGTCTTTCCCCTATACACTTAAATGTACATGACACAAACTGCGCAGACTACGAGACAGACCACAGATTATACTGTCAGATACACAGCTACATCTCGTAACACAACAGAGGTATGTAAACACCAGAATTCCTCATCCTACCAGGCAGCGACTGAATATAAATTCAACACCAAGCCTCAGACTGGTAAAGTGCTTTTATCAGTTCAGTTCCTGCTATTCCTCTAAATCCCCTCAGAGCATTACCAGGCTGCTTTAATGACACACAGGAAAAAAGAAGCCACACATCCTTTAGAAAACTACCTCCCTTTAACATATGGTAGCAATCAGCCAACCCTTCATGGGTGAATATCAATACCCTCGAGTGTCCACAAATGGCATAAAAATAGCGCTGTGGTTTACGCTTGTTGCGTTTTTGAAATACTTTCTTGCTGTGTGAGAGTTTCTGTGAAGGTCTACAGCCAGTACCGTGTTACGGAGAAGCTCCATGTAGCCTTTAAGCTGCTGGACGGCATCTCCTGTCCCATCTCTCTGCAGGCACTCTCCAGGAAATGTCCACTGACTTATCAGCCCATCCTGAGCCTCCAGTTGTTTTGGCAGCTGTAAACACAAAGAATTACGTTATGTAACATTAACAGTGTTTACAAGACGGGGCAATGATCACTTCTGCAGTAAATTTTTGGTTCTTTTCTACCAACAGCTGTATATAATTAACCATTCGATATTAGCAACGTGACTTCTCAGACCAAGGAGTTAGTGACTATGTTGTCAGCATAAAACACATTTTTTGTTTATAAAATGGACACAAGTCGCAGGAAAATTGAAAACTGTTAACTAAGATAATACATTCTTAAAGTTACGCTGTGTAAAATTTTCACTGTTGGATTAGGTATATTGCAGATTGCAGTCAACCGAGGTTTGTTTTCTTATTCCTCCCAATTCAAATCAATTCAATTTTATTTATATAGCGCCAAATCACAACAACAGTCGCCTCAAGGTGCATTATTACTGTATATTACTGCTCTTATTGTATATATTGTATATCTTATTCATCTGTTCCTCTGTCTCTCCTGCTACTTTGAGCATGTACATGACAAAAGAATTTTCCTCGGGATAAATAAAGTTATTCTTATTCTTATTAATCTTATTCTTATATTGTAAGGTGCACCCTACAATAATACATACAGACAAAAACCCAACAATCATATAACGCCCTATGAGCAAGCACCTTGGCGACAGTGGGAAGGAAAAACTCCCTTTTAACAGGAAGAAACCTCCGGCAGAACCAGGCTCAGGGTGGGGCGGCCATTTGCCGCGACCGCTTGGGGAGAGAGAAGGCAGACAGAATAACTACAGTGCATACTCCTAGCTACGGTGGCTGCTGTAAGACAAATAAGTTTTAGTTAGCAAGACAGGTTAAAAAAAAAAAAGAAATTACATAGACTGTACCCGGTAACGGGCACGGCCAGCCAGCCTGTTTCTACTAGTAAGTAAGTAAACTTTATTTATACGGCACCTTTCACAGGTCAAAAACCACAAAGTCCTTTGTAATAAAAACAGGCAAAAACAACAACAACAAAAAAACAAAACACTGGATGCAGAGCCACCTTGGAGGTTTTCCCCATCTGTAGAAGGCCCTTCTCTGAAAATAAAACAGGTATGATGCTTCATGTCTTGAGTCTGAAGATCCAGGAACAATTATTAATGTCCTTTCAGGGCACACTAAGGCCTGAGACGTCTCTACTTCTCTGCTTTTGACACAATACTTATGTGGCCGGTCTCTAGCCCCAAATGTAAAACACCGTGGGTAAGAAGGAAAATGTCATAAGGGAAATGCCCACTTTTATGTATTTTTTATTGATTAATTATATGTTTATGAGAACGCATCAAGTTGTTGGAAGGTGTATTTACACACAGTTCTAGTACAGTACAGTATCCTTTTTTTCTTTTAAATAACATACCTTTAACTATATGTGTGCCAGTCAATCTTGCAGGAGTAGTCACACCCCAAAAACCCATTCTGCTGCTGCATTTTACATAATCACAATCTCAGTATTGCGCATAAGGAAACCTAGTTTTGGTCTATAGCCAATTTCCCCTTTACTTTTATGAGGGGCAAATTTGATAAGTAATTAATCTAAACTTCATCAGCAGTTAAAGTTATGTATTATTAGGACTGGCTGCTTTGAGGTACAGTCTGGAGGACTTAAGATATTTATCTAGCAAATACCACGCCATGACTAAGAACTCTGTTGCTATTCTTTGTGAGTGAAATTGTGCGGTTTAGCACTAATTAGCAGGTAAGTGACATGGCAGGCAAACTACATACGCTTACCTGCCATTTCATGAGGTTTAGAAAAATATCTCATCAGCCAATCACATGAAAGCAACTCAATGCACTTAGACATGATCAAGACGACCTGCTGAAGTCCAAAATAGGCATCAGAATGGGGAAGATTTAACAAACTTTGAAGGTGGGATAGTTTCTGGTAAAATGGTAAATGGCCTGTATTTATATAGCACTTTACTAGTCCCTAAGGACCCCAAAGCACTTTACACATCCAGTCATCCACCCATTCACACACACATTCACACACTGGCGATGATGAACTCCCAACTCTTGAGCCACGATCGCCCACAGGCTGGTGTAAGTATTTCAGAAACTGATGATCTGTTGGGATTTTCCCACAGAACCATCTCTTGGATTAACAGACACTGATCGCTGGGTGAAAAATGCTTTGTTGATGTCAGAGGAAAATGGCCAGACTCCTCCGAACAGTAACTTTAATAACCACTCGTTACAAGCATGAGATGTGAAAGTGCATCTCTGAACGCACAACATGTTGAATCTCAAAGCAGCCAATTATCACCGTAATCAGCACTAACATAGTACCCCAGTCACATGGGATCCCCTGGTAAATCCTTGTGACTTCCAGGAACTGCTAAATGACTGAAATTCAGATTGTCATTTGGTTTTTATTGGGGAATAGCAATTTTTCCTTAGCAACCAATGGTTGTCATGGAGTCGCCAACCTGCGCCTGTGTGACTGAGGTTTACGGTACATGGTACTTTTCTAGTTCCCCTTTTCCACTGCTGCTGTGCCCAGTGTAAAGTCAGTTCTGCTTTGTTGCCTTTGGAGAACCGGCTCTCACACAAACAGGTCTGAACAGTTGCACAGAGCATGGCGGGTGGACAAAATGTGGAAGCTGCAATTTCTTACAGCAATTGCTGACAGCAGTGGTTTCAACTCTTGGCAATGCTGGGGCTGGTTTCAGCATGAGCTCTGAACGATAAGATGCAGAAGTGAAAATTTACCATGATGACGTCCTCATTCTGCAGCCACGCAGGCAACTGGGTGCTGTGGGACAACACTTGGAACAGCGTGGCTCTGAGGGCACAGTAGTTGTCCCCCCTGACTCTTCGTACGCTGGCAAAGCTCTGGGACATCTCCTTATAACCCTGCACCAACACACGGGGACATTAGAGGAAACATCCTAGCCATTAATGTAAAAATAAATAAATAAGAACTGGCTTTAACCTGAAATGATTCTTCTGAGAAACTTCAGGCACCAACCTTTTTAATGAGAGCGCTTTTAAGAGTATTTCCCTTCCACTCCCTCTCACTGTACAACAGAATATTCACCACTGGTGACAAACTGCATCTGTCCTCCACCTTTAAAACTGAGCGAGGGATAGCAGAGAAAGGTGAGACGATGGGCAGAACAAAAAGACTATTGTCCAGATTTCAAATGACAGACAAAAGCTGCACTTGTTGAAAATCACTGATGCAATAGAAGCGGAGGATGTACTGACGTTTTGTCTCCAGCTCGGGCTGTGACGCAGACAGCTCCTCTTCGCCTCTGTACAAATCTTCTTCACTATGATAAAACAGAAACACTTATTTTTAATCAAACAACAAGTTATTTTTGTGTATCCAAAGCCTGGTCCTGGATCTCCATATCGAGCAATTTTAAGTCAATGCCAACTGGGACAGGGACAACTTAATCTCACTAAAAATACTCACACTTCAAATGTGTAAGTCCAGATTTCATTTTTCTGTGACATTTGCAAAAAAATAAAAAAATAAATAAACATAAACTTGACTATAAATACCAAACACATAATTTGTGTGTATTTTGCTACATTTTTGTCTCATAATCCCATCTGTTTCTTGGGTAAAAGTGGTTTTACCTCCTTTATTCTTTCAACAGATGCTGTGATTCAATTCAGGACTATAAAGTGAACAGAGGTGATCTTTACAGACCTGTCTTCTTTCTCCGTGGTGTCAGCCATAACATTCTTGGTTGCGCTCTCTGCCAGCTGCTCCTTTTTTCCTGTAACCTCCTCGCCTTCAGCATCTTTCACAGGTTCAGTCTCGGCCTCAGTTGGCCTCTCCTCTTTTATCTCTTCATCGTTCCGCTTGACCTTGGGGAGATCTTCATCGTTATCCTGCACTAACATTGGTTCCTGCTTGGTTTTCTCCACAGACACGACCTCCTCTGACATTGCAGGTGTATGCTCCGCATCTGACCTTTTATCTTCATCTAACGGCAAGCTGAAACGAAAATGCACGTTTTGTGTATAAAGCCAAGTTTACCATTCATGTCTTAAACTCAAACTTGCAAATGTGCAACTTAAGTTGTATTTAGAAATTTAAAGTACACATTTAGCTGTAGGAAAACTGCAGGTATGAGGAGGGCTGACTGTCATAGAAGATGCAATGGTAAGAGTTCGCCCCCTAGTGGCCACAGTGCCACTCTGCCGCCACAAGTCCAGAGTTCACGTAAACAAATACCTTGTTTGTTTTGTTATTGCAAACTCTGAACCCACTGGCCTCTCTCTGGCGTCTGCTGGAGCTGTGGTTTCTGGCTCCTTCACTGAGCTGGCAGAGTCCTGTCCCTCACCGCTGTGGTCGAGTTCCGTGGGCTCCAATCCAGAAGACAACTCAGAGACATCATGGCTTTTTGGGCCTTCGAGACTGGGCTCTCTGCTGTTTGAATCATCTGTCCCGGCACTGAGCAGACAGCAATAAGAAAGGTAAAAAAAATAAATGGACTATTGCTTGCACAAATGTAAAAGCAAGTGATTACACAACAGTCGTACATGTGTAATAATGTTCAGTAATAAAGCTATCCATAGAAGCCCTTATCACCTCATGTCATACTTGAAAAACCAAAAGTAGTAAGTCAAGGCCTATAGAGCGTTAACAGCATGGTCATAAAACGGCCCTGATCAGTGATTCTGCAACAGTTTGATGGTCTAATGCAACCACAGATCTAAAAATAAAAAAAGGAGGTTAATGATTAAAGGGATGGTGAACTTGGGACAAGAAGCAAACAAAGAAAGAAAAGAGACACGGGATGCATGCCATGTCACATTTTAAACAGCTGTACTCCTCATTATGGTTCAACCTTTTTATCTGTGTTGGGAATAAATTGCATACTGGAAAGTGACTTATGGAGGGGGCACACAATATAGGTGATGTATATACACAGGCGGGGTGTTTTTTTTGGGTTTTCATGCTTAGATATAATGTTAAAAAACAAAAAGATAACTTTTGGAAATACTTATAGATTAGATTCTGCATTGTTAAAGATAATTTCATACATACAAAAATGTATGGATCTACTCAGTATCAAACACAAGGCATCCGCATTTCACAAATTATTTAATAGCATACAAACAGATGGCAGAGGGACCTTGGCTGTCCAAATAATGATGATGGATGGTTAAAGATACTGTCACATAATAGGAAACATTAAAGAGTCATTATAAGATAGTACAGTTTTTTTACTCCATCTAGCCTTTGTAGAACGGGTCTACTTACCAATTATTTATGTTGGAAATGTCAAGCAGAACCAGGAACCTTTATACATGCGATCTGGGACTGTAAATACGTTTCCCCATTTTGGAAAATAGAATTATAACACATAAGAATGTGCATGGTGATACCCATGTCACCAAGACTATGCCTATTGGGGGAATCGGACAATAATACCTAATATTAAAACACCAAAATACAGTGATACAGTTGGGAGTGGTCACAGATTATACAGATCATGTAATACCACTTCTGCTCCGGACATTAAAAACTGGTTGGAATTCATGCTGGAGAAAGTGTCATATGAACACCTGCTGGCCAAGCTAAATAACAATACAGAGAACTTCAAGAAATCCTGGGACTGCTCTTGCACCACCGGGACGATCAGATTCATGAATGGTATGGTAAGCGCCGACTTGGCTGCTTTACGTTTAAGATTTGTTATTCCTTTGGTTGTTATAAAACAAATAAAAACTTAAACGACAAAAAAGAAAGAAAAGAATTTAGCAGCTGTCCAAACCAGACACAGATCTGATTAGAAAATGTTACAATCCTCTAGAAACAATAAGACAGTCTTCTGTCTTTAAACCATTTTTAAGGAGGCCAAGCTGTTTCATCTGGATTATTATAATTGAGTAAACCACCAAAGTAAGACTGCAGCAAGCAGCATTGGGAGTCACAGAGTAACTCACAATACTATCACAGTACTTTGATCCCCAGTGATTCTACAATACTTTATATATTGCAAGACATATGTGTAACAATACATCAGAAGAAAAAAATACCAGCAGTTGTCTGTGCTACCCTCAGCCTCCTAGTAAATGCACCTATGGTATAAATTTGAAAAATCTGAAAAGTTGATCTCTGACTCCGATGTCCGGGATTCACACTCGTCTGAGATTTAAGTAGCATCTGTGGTATCAGTTTTGAAATACTATGTTGCCTCGTTCTCCAGTTATTGCATTCATAAACTTTCGTGTCCACACTTCACAGCTACCCGCCTGCCTGGCAGGGTGATCTCAATACCCCATCAGCTTTTCAGAGCTGAGAGGAGTAACCATCTGTTTATTCGCTGTAATATATGTAATGATAATATTCACTCTAAACAGTGTGTTAATTCAAGTAAAGAGCTTTGTACTTTGTCTGCCTTCTTCTTCACTACAACTCCTAATCACTTGGAGGCTGTGTTCAGGTGGTAGTACAGTACTACTAATTGGGAGGTTTGTGGACTGCATGCTAAAGTATCCTTGGGCAAAACACTCAACCACACGTTGATCCTGATACATCTTCTGGAGTGTGAATGTGCATGAATGGGTTATGAGACATGTTGTATAAACTGCTTTCTTAGTGCTCAAGTAGAAAAGGGCTATATAAAAACCAGTCACTTAGTTTATCCTCAATCGTTACCTCCAAAGGAGCGGTTCAGTTTGTCTTTCTGTTGCAGGATTACTCAAAAAGACTTTGGCGTATTTGAAAGAAAATATAAACAGAGGTGTTTTTTTGCCCCCCAACTTGGAAGCGATTAACTTTTGGAACTGATCCCAATCTCGATCCAGGGATTTCACCACTGCTAGGTGGGACAAAATTGGACACTTGACATCACAATTCATATCTAACTAAAAATTTAAAAAAAGAATAAACAAACTAATCTGCTTGGTATGAGTGGAATTTACAGCATTGGCAGAGCTATATCATCTTGAACCCAGAGTCATAAAGCAGATCCTCCGGTAAGTTAAGTTCTTGACAGACGTTTAGAGCAGCTTCCTGTTTTAGCAAAACGAACTACATTTGGCAGCAATGTATCAACACCTGTATGGCAAAGGGAAGTGATACAATACACATATCAATGTGTCCAACCACTAAAAGCAAAATAAATGTTTGGTGTTGCCGAAACTTGATTAAACAACCACCACGTGTAGAAGAACGTGTCGCATTTGTGTCACAATATTTTAATTTTAGACACTGGAGCTGTTAGAGGGAGTCTTACAGTATTTGACATTATACAGGTGCTAAGATATTGTGGTACTTTTAAGTAAGGCGTTATATTTTTAATGCAGGAAATGTCATGGTAAAACGAGCACACAACAAAGAAAGAAGCGCTTTAAGAAGTTCATATTTTCTTCTAAAAGAAATACAGACAACATATGACATTGAACTGCACTGGAACTTTCTATCCAGCTCTTCAGAATAAATATTAAAATCATTATAAAAGGGAAGCTAAATTCTAAGCTTACAGGTTCGTTTCATGTAACTCACCATGTCAGAGGCTCAGGTTCAGGCTCCTGCTTTCCCACAGACACAGACGACAGCTGGGCTGCCGGGGCAGCTGCAGCCAACAGCATGTTTGACACTGATGACACTTGGTGATTTTCAGAAAACTCCCCTGATGGTTTAGCTGCAGCTTCAACAGTCACTTTTTCTTCTTTGTCATGATGAGTTGTGCTCGCTGCAGTTTGCTCTACTGTTGTGTTTGCCTCAGTATGCGGAGTTTTTTCAAAGCAGACCACCTCAGGTGTCAGAGAGGTGCCATCTGGGATTTTGTATTGCGTGGGGGGGTTTTCTTCTATCTCTGGTGCTTTTAAAACCTCAGAATCCGCCTTGGCGTGCTCATCCTGGACAGACCCCAAAGCGCACTGCATTGGAAGTTGACGACTGTGAGCAGGAGATTCCTCTGTATCTTGTACTCCGGTGGCGTTTTCTTCAGACATGTTGCAGGGCGGAGGCATCTCTATTTGAATGACTTCCTGCTTCAAGGGTCCATTTTCCTGAGTGTTATTAGGCTCCTGCTCTCCGGTCTCAGGACTCATCTTCCGCTCCTCATCCCTAAGTGACAACACAGTATTCATTAGCAATGCCACAGAGCCTCGGCTACACCCTTTTCATGCCCAGAAAAACAATGTTTTGTGACCAAAGATAAGACACTGTTGAAATGTTTCAGGATTCCTTCAACCCTGTAGGTGGAGAGGAAGCAGATAACCTTTGTTCAAAACATTATCTCTTTGATTACCAGTTAGTTCATGAAATGACAAATGTTTTGACTTCCACAAACACTTTAAGACCTTTGGAAGTCCCCCTCACCCTGTTTCTGATCTCAGTACTCTTTTTTGTGCTGTCATTGGGTCACATGGTGCATCCTACACAACCCACAGGGGAAAATCTAATCATCATTTTGTTTTCACCCATTTTCCAGCATTTAATGCTGCTTTTGTGACCACAGATGCAGGTACTGTCTGCGTGTTTTAGATGCTTAAATCCAATATTACCGCAAACTCCAAAGCTTTCTTCAAGCGTTTAAAAGTCTCAGCTGAAAGTGTTCTGAGTCAGCTCTAAAATTGTTTGTGGTCTGCTGCTTATGGAGGAACCTGAGAAACGAAACACTGCTGGGAAATCCTGTGAAAGTGTGTCTGTTGTACCAGATTAGGTCACCAAGTCTTATTAGCACCCAGCACCCTTCACACACTCAGACTTTGAGTTTCCCTGTCTGTGTTTTCCCAGTCATCTCACCTCATGCAATCATCTCCTTCAGGACCGCAATTGCCAGCCACAGCTTTACAGCCTGTGAACTGGGTGGCCTTCGAGTCACTGGTCAGCAAACCGCTTCTTTCCTCCAAACTGCCGCAGGGACTTTCATGGCGACAACAGCACCAGTTCCCCATCTGCTCGCTCCCTCAGCCTGGGAGGTCGGACAGGCTGTAGGCTGAAGAGGCCTCTGGTCCAAAGCAACCACAAGCGACCTGGCGAGTCGCCGAAGCCTGAAGATTTCAGGACTCCATGATGACGACGGAGGGATAAGCTGCTGCTAACGCAAGGGAGAAACCATGTTTATGTCCTATAAAAAGTGTGTTGACAGCTAAAAGCACAGAATGAGTGATCAACACACTGACTGTGATCTAACACGTTACAGTTTGTTATGTAACAAGTTCCTGCTACTGTAATTACACAATGTGTTGTATTTAATAAAATACAATATTTTGGTACATGCAGATTTTGTCCATTATGAAGGATAAAGCTTTTATGTTCAACGGAGATTCATTTTCTCAAACACGATAAATATTTTGTTTTTCAAACATCCAGGAAACACAACAACACACAGATTTCTGTTGAATAAGGCAACAAAGACTTATTGTATTTACTGTAGGTGGACCTGAAAGGTCACATCCAACATGGAAAAACCCTGAGATATAACCAAACATGATTACCCCACAGTATTCATGTTTACATGCATAAACTATGCATGTAAAAGCTCAAGACTCCTTAAATGTTGCCCAATGAGGCAAAAAAGACAGCACCCAGCCAGACTGTGATAAAAATAAATAAATGAACAACAACTCTTATTTTTTTAAGTGAGGTTTAATTTACTTTTGTTTATAAAATCACCAAAGATATTAGGAAAATGAATAAGCCAGTCTTTCCTAAGGTAACAGACTATTTGCTAATTATATCTGAACCAATGAGTGTGCTCCTAAAGGCCCCCACTGAGCCAAGAAAAAGACCCAGAATTATCCCCTGACTGATGAATTTGTTGACAGATATTATTAGGTCAATCGCGGCTATATTGTTACGTCGCATAAAGAAGTTAAAATGCATTCATCATGAGCACAAATGTCATGATGATTTTTGGCTTTTAATGATCTTTATGGCTTAAAAAATACAAACAAGAATTGGATGTACAAGTTTGAATTTATTTGGGATTTTCTTTCTTTTTTTCTTTTAAATTGGCAATTAACTTCTGGTTAATGATCATGACTGACTACAATCGGTAGTTTCTCTTTGTCATCATAAAGAGGATTTGTTTGACAGCACTCATTGAGCTGACCTATACGCTGAACAACAGGAAAGTTCAAGGAACTGAAGGTCTCTTGAAGCCGTTTCTAAATAACCGCAGATTCCAAGATCATCACTTCAACCAGTTGTATATAAGTACCAGTTATTCAGATATGTCACCATTTTGCCAAGATCTGGAAGAGGACCCAAACAGACTCCCTCGGATGAGGGGGAATTGATTTGGATGTTCAGGAACCACGAAGGCTCAAGCCTGTCATGAACTGGAAATTGCTGAAATACCAGCATCATTCTCCACCGTGAAGAGTTTTAAATCGCCATGGACTAAGATGTTGCCGTCCAAGAAAGAAGCTCCTGCTCCAAAATTGACACCTTCAAGCTTGAATGAAATTTGCAACTGCCACGTAGACAAGCCAAAAGCCTTCTGGATACATGTTTGATGGCCAGGCGAGCTAGGGATTGAGTATTTCTCCACAATGACAAGAGGTATGTGTGGAGGAGTAAAAGCGAAGCTTCCAGCTGTCAAGCATGGCAGTGATAGTATCACGCTCTGGGCTGTTTTCGTGTCAGTGGTAAATTGCACAAACTGAATGGAATTATGAAGTAGGATGACTACCTCCAAATTCTTCAACTCTACCTCAGATCAAAAACTAGACGGTTGAAACTTGACACAAGTCGGATGCTCCAGCAGGACAATGATCCCAAACATACATTTAGATAGGAAAAAGCAGGCTAACATTAAACTTCCTGAACGGGCTTCCCAAATCCCTCATCTCCATCCTATTTGTGGACTACAACAGGTCTATGCCAGGAAACCAACAAATTTAAAAGAACTCTACAAATTCTGGCAAGAGCAGAGTTCACAAATCAAGCCAGAATTAAGTCAAACGATTGTTCGTGGCCACCAAAAAGATCTGCTTAAGGTGCCACTTGTTAAGGGACAGTTTACCAAATATCAATGCATATATTTGAGGCTGAATGTATACTTTTGAGCACCCGATTCTTGGGTTGTTGGTTTTTTTTTTTTTGCACAATCATTCCACTTTGGAAAAAGAAATCATTAAAAGCTCAAATTTAACGTGACATTTATGCACATGATGAGGGCATGCAAACCTCTGACCATAACTCCGTGTTGTCCAGTATGTGTAAACACTTTCTTTTCTTGCAGAAATAGATGTTTGTTATCATTTAGAAGTGATGTGATCCAACAGTGTGCCCCTAAGACCAATGTCCACAGCTGGGGTGCACAGTCATGGCATGTCTTCAAGCTAATCAATAACATATAACATAAAAGAATAACACACACATATTGATGTGGGATTCTCTATACTCACTAGAGATTGAATATCATTCAGTATATAATTCAGTCCGACTGAAAATCATTCGGACTACAGACTGAATACATTACAGTATGGAAACGTGTGATCCTCATACAAAAACACCTTTTGGCAGCCTGTGATGAAGCACAGTAAAACAATGCAGTGGCAGTATGGCTAAAAACTCCTGTCGCGAGGGCATTTCCCTCTTCTTCTTTTTTTTTTAAGCCACACGACTTTATTAAATGAACACAGCTACACCTGTCAAACACGGCAAAGTAACATTAATAATAACGGCTGCACACTTCTTAGCTGGTACAAATAAAAGACAAGGTCAGGTCGTGAAAACACACCTTGTTTTGGCTGTGCTGAAGTCAAACTCCTGGAGCTTTCAGTCTCGTTCCTGTTTCACTTTTGGTGAGCTGACGAGCTAGCCAGCTAGCTGCGGTAAACTTAAAATACAAACATGCGTTCCCGGAGAGTAACTGGCGCTCACTGAAAACGCTGCTGCCGCGGTGGGTAGCTCTTCCTACGACTGCGCCGTTATCGCTTAATGCGGCACATTTCATAGGAAAGCGGGTTTTCGGAGCGTTTGACGCGGACCATCTGTTGGTACGAACCACCTTAGCTTAGCAGGAGCAGCGGGTCACGGCTTGGTCCGAGCGCATGACGTCATGCTCGTGTGCGCCGAGAGTTCTTTTTTGATGCATTCAGGTGAAAGTAGGAATTTCGGAACACTTGTGCAAATCGGTTTTTAGTCTTCACTCATCAAAACGTTTGACAGAAAATTAACGTTTTAAGTCTTTCAAGCAGAAAGGCCAAACATTTACCGTTCATGGTGTTTAAATGTGAGTACGTGCTGCTTTTATTTGTTCATATCAAAATCGATTTGATAAGGTTATGCTTTCGAACTACAGAGGCAGATGCAATTAAAGGCATCGCCGACAGCTCTCAGGACCAGAGTTGCTATGGTTTATATCTTATTAGTTTTTATGTCTATTTCCTATTGCCTTTTGCTTTTAATTGATTTAAATTTCACTTCAGTCTTTAATTGTTTGAAAACGTTTTATAAGACAAAAACCTTTTTTTTTAACTCATACACACACACACACATATATATATATATATATATATATATATATATATATATACATCCAACAAAAATGGAAGTCAATACTGATGGCTCTATCGCTGTCATTTCATTTGCTAAGACATTTTAGGATACTGAAAGTTAACTGAATTATTTCCTAAAAACTGAGTTCTATAGACCAGCGGTCCCCAACCCCCGGGCCTCGGATCGGTACCGGGCCACGAGAGTTAAGGCTCAGGTGTGAAATGCATGGTTTTTATCGGTTTTCAGCATTATTTTGTTATCGTTTTTATCGTTAACTCGGTTTTCCTGGGTCTTTTCACGTGTGTTATGAATAAATCTTCATTTTTTCGGTACCGGTACTAGTTTTATTTTGTTGTATTTATCCGCAACACCTTAAAGGCCGGTCTGTGAAAATATTGTCGGGCATAAACCGGTCCGTGGTGCAAAAAAGGTTGGGGACTACTGCTATACACTATTCTCATTTTAGAGGCAACGATCCAAACATGCAGCAGGAAATTTCAGTTTATTTCCAAACACTTTAAAATACAAAAATCCATAAGTATATAAAACATTATATACATCTTCATGTTTTTTTTGTGAGAAAGATCTTCACACCAAGCCTATTTAGCGTCACAGTTTCAGTCATCACTCGAACCCTTTCAGTCACTACAGCTTCCTCAGTTCCTCTATGTGGCCGATGAGCTCCTGTGGCATTCCCAGTTCTGACACCACGTCAACGCAGCACTGCAGGAGGAGGTGCAGCTCCTCAGTGGACCCCGAGCAGATCCTTTGTGGCCTGTGAGGAAAGTCCGAGTCCATCGTCTCTCCCTTCCTACAGCAGTCAGACTCTTCACAGCGCTGCTCGCAGCAGCCCCGGTCTGCCCGTTCCACCTCCAGGTCCTCCATGCTCTCGGAGACGTCGCTCACACTGGGCGGAGGATTCTCCAGAGCGTTCTTGATACCGTTCGCTATTCTGTCTTCATGCTGCGTGACCCTGTGCAGAAGCTCAGTCACAGAGGATGGGACGGGCTTTTCCGGGTGCTGGATCTGGCACCAGCACCATATAGCGCTGCGAGACACAAAGAAACAACAGAGTCACATTCAATGGCACACAAAGGACACTTCAATGACAGTCGGTACAAAAGAGACTCGGGATGTTTCTGTGCAAGAATGAGGCTGAAACCTCTGAGAGGATTTCCATGTGGCATGAACGAGGACTTCTCAATTACAGAGATTTCACTGTGGATGCTGTCTGTTATATTTGATTGTTTATCCTTAATATATCCTTCATTGAGCAATTATTACAATCTCCTGATTTTTTAGAAACTGAGGGGGAAAAACATAAATAACACTTTGTAAAAATTTCTCATTGGACAGTTTCTATTGACAGGGACAATGACTGACTCTAAACTACATGATTATAGGCAGAGTCCATTCCTGTTGGTGCCTTATTGGCTACTTTATACACATCCTATTTGAGTCAAGCCCACCTTTTATCAAGTGTTCAGGCTGCTACTGGTGTAACAGCGTGGGTCAGTTTCTTGGCACACTTTGGGCCTCTTAATACCAGCAACATTTAAATTGTTGTGTTTACCCAGCAGGATAACACACCATGCCACAAAGCTCAAATCACCTCAACTCTTTTTTTTTCTTGAATGTAACAGTGAGTTTAGGGTGAAAACTCCCTCCACAGAATTCATGAATTGAGTCCCTGTTCTTTTGATATTTTCGTGAGATCATCAAGCCAGTCTCTGCCAATTTTTGTCATTTTAATTTAATGTTTATTTGTGCAATACTGGTGGATGGACTGATAGATGAGGTCAGGCAGGAGTCTCTGTAATGAGAGGAGGGAGATGGTGGAAGAGAACCTGGAGGTATGGTCTCTATCGTTTGATCAGGTGTGTAAACCACCCAATTATTAAAAAAAAGAAAGAAAAAGAAATCCTTTTTAATTGTGTGTGGACAGCTACTGATACTGATACTTGACTTCAGGAGGTCACCAGTAAGTGGTGTGACAGTGACATATGATCACAACTTCAAGCCACTGTGTATGGGACAATACAGTTAATCAAACTTTTAACCAAAGTATAATTCGTTTCCACGAATTATAAAATAAGGCAACAGATTAAAAAAAAAAATTTTTTTAAAGTCTGCAGACTCCAGGGTAGACCCAGAATACATTGGGCTGGACAGATTACATATCTGTCTGACCTAGGAATGCCTTAGAATCCCCCAGGAGGATCTGTGAATTGTGGTTGGGGACTAGGAGCTCTGGGATACCCTGCTTAGCCTACCTACCTACTCTCATTGCAACTCAACTTCGGATAAGAAGAAGACAATGGCTGGATGAGATACATGTGCAATCAAGGAGCCCACACCATGTATATCATGAAGTTTTAAATAGACATGTGTATAACCCCTTTAAAATGATGTCACTTTAATATGTGACATCTTATTAGATGTTATCATGTTATTGTAAGGAAAACAATATCACGTGACAAGTCACATGCGGGGCAGATGTATGACGTTATTGATGGTTTACCTGACGATTCCTCTGAGTCGTCCCACAGCCACAGTCTGAGCTGCTCCCTCTTTGAAGCCCAGGCTGAATCCCACCTGAAGCGAGGCATCCTCCCCGGTATCAACTCCGTCCACATACCCGTCCTGAGAGAAAACATGAGCGAGTTAAACACAGGACAGCACACCACATCACAAAAACAAACACACAGGACGTTTAGCACGCAGAGCCGGTGTGAGTTAACATTTCAGGATCCGTTTTTGATGTGAGCTAACTTTACCCTCAGTCGCTTCTTCATGTTGGAGGTCCACTCCTTACTCTGTAAGCTAAGCTCGTCCGCACTCTCGTCGAAGACATCGTCTCCGCTCACAGGCAGAGCTTTAACCCAGGACATGACGATTTAAAAGCAAAAACACCGTTTTAAACGCACTAGCATCGAAGCTATCTCCTGCTTCTTCTTCTACGGCAAGCGCGCTTTATCCTCGATGGAAAACTGTATGTGCGTGCGCGCCACCCTCTGGCCTGGACTACAAAAAGCCGTTAGTCAACGGCAGTGCTACCGATACCAATGCCGATACTTTTAATCTATAAAGGCGGCTTATGTAGGGGAGAGCAGTGTGTCATGATTTATGATGAGATAATCATCATCATTTTAATGACTGCTAAATCATTGTGATTTTTACTTTCTACAGTACTTACTTAACATAGCAAAACACACTTGTCAGATTTTCGTGTATTTTGAAGCTGGGTTATTTGGAGACATGGAATGTAAATGTACCCATCCCTGAAGCACCTTGGTTCAGCTTGTATAGATTATCTACTATAGGCACATGAAAATCAACATAGAAAGGTTCAGACAACTTTCATAGTGTGTGTTTGAGGTATATGTATATTTTTCCAAAAGAAATAATTTAACATAATTCAATGAGCTAAATAGTAAGCTTACAGGATAGAAACAAAATATCAATCCTTTCACACTAATCTAATACCAATACCAGTGTTGGTATCAATGCTATCGATATCTGGATTAATCCGCCCGCCTCTTCTGGGAGTGCCAAACTAATTTTAGTTCATGGGCCAATGTGTGTCCAAATTCAGGAGCTGCGGGAGGAAATTAAAAAACAAAACAAAACAAAAAACACCACAATAACCTGTAAGAAAACAATAAAAAAAAGAAGTCTTTGTATATGTATTAATAGGAAAAAGTTTATTTGTCCATCTTGCAATAAAATGTCATGTCAGAAAGTGACACAGGTGATTGTGACATAAAGTAAAAAGTTAAAGTATATTGATCAAACTGGGCGTGATCTTAAAATTAAGAACTAAAAGTTAAAAAAAACAAAAACAACAAAAACAACAAAACACACAAAATTCCAAGATAATGAAAACTAATAATTAATAAATGTAAACAAAAAACAAAGAAAGGAAAAGTACAGCTTCCACACCTTGGATAGGTCACCAGTCTATCCCGAGCCAAGTTACAGATAAGATGAATTATTCTGATCTCACATTCACGCTCTGCATAGTTACATCTTTGCTTTACTTGAAGGAAACAATTTGTGCAAAGGAACATTCTGAGCTTCTGCTTCACTGACAGCCTGTCTGTGATGGTTTGTATGCATACACCTGAACCAAAAGTCAATTCAGGAAGGTCTTATTTTAAGGGAGGAATTTCCCTTTAAAGAACACTCTTCTTCGGTGGTATTGATGTGTAAAATGACATCCTAGGGTGCGCACTGCCACCTAGTTATTTTACCCAGCAGCCACTGACAGTTTGAGCCTGCAGAGGGCGCTGAAGACCTACTTTAAAACTGAGTGTGGTCCACACGCTACATCAACACCATCATCATCACCATCATCACTGTGGTTCAGCTCAGAAGGTTTCCTGCAGTCTGTTTGCTTTATTCTCGTCTTCTAATTCTTTTTATATTTTATCTGTGTGGGGTTTTTTTTTAAATCATCATAATTACACAGAGGATGCTTCATCTGTCAGTACTGCTTATTTTGTTTTCTTACTTAATAACTGCAACATACTTATACATACTTGAGTATGTAAACCATCATCACGTTTGAT